CCAGTTGCCTACTGTATCCAACATTTTGAAGCAGGAATGTACACAAGGGGTTTACTGCTAAATCCAACACTTGGCCCCGTCGGTATATGACATAGTTAGATCCCGTTGGATTCAGCAGGGTTAGGGTTTCAACCGTATTCATACAGCCGACGGATAAACCTGTACTTTTTTTTCTCTCTCTCTTTCTTCGTCAGCGTGGGTATCGGTGCATCCCAGTGGGTGGGAGCCTGGGGCTAGGCTTCCTCTTCACCGCAATTGCATCTTTCATCATCGCCATTCCGTTGAGCTGCTTTCCGCACGAGTTGCCAGGTAAGATGAGCATCAGGACATGTTCAGTAGAGAACTGAGCGTACCAGCTGGCTTATAAGTAGTCGATACTCTTTTTTTTAATTCCACAAGGTTGTTTACACCATCTTCAAGGTATAGATTGAGCTTGAGAATACCGTTTGTTTCATGCTTTTGTAATTCCAAAGATAATATTATGTTTGAATAACGGCAAGCCAAGAAACCAATTTTGTGCCACTTTCTGTGAAGCAGTTTTAAATCAGTATATAGTCCTAGTCTAAAACCAAATCACTTTACTGTAGTGATTTTAACATTTTTAAGCAGAGTGTGCAATATTTGTTTAATATTAAATTGAACTCTTTCATTGAAGTTTTAAAGAAGTGAACCCGTCTGCACTATAAATTGTTTCAACATAAAGAAGAAAACCCTATATTGTCGTGTGAATGGAATGTTTGTCTACATCCATAGGGATAATCTTATCAAAAGAGCCATACTGGCAATGTCTGATTTTTGAAGCACTCGCTTCCTTAAAGTGGCACAGAATGGGTTATTTTTTGGCTTCGCGGTTATTCAGACATATCTCTTAATTTACAAGGGCAATCTTAAATCTGTAATCTTGGAGATCATGTAAACATTTGCTGTAATTCCGGTTGTAAATTTGGGAAAATCGCGGGGTTTATATGCACCATTATTTCAGGACACCCTGTATAACAGCCTTTCAGGCTTATATGAGACGGGAGGAAACCAGTTGTAAATAATAAACAGGACGGCTACTCAGTTAATATCCTCTTGAATAAAAAAACCTTGCTCCAACCGATGCACAAACCTGTAGAGTCCTTCATCTTGTGAATTGGCTATACAGCGCCATGCATCCGTAGTTAAATTGTGCCTGTGAATCCATACAGACATCGAAGTCAGTTAATCACCACAAGTTAATCACAAGTCAAATGACAAGTGACGTAGGTTAAACAGACGTCACAAATAACTAATTTTAAAAAAAAGCTAACTCACAATTCCGTCCACCACGCAGGGACGCAGACGGTCCGGGCCCAGCGCGAGTCCCAGGCCCACGCCAAGTCGGACCGGTCGGGCAAGGCCAGCCAGAAGGAGTTCGGTAAAGCCTGGCGTGACTTCCCCTCGGCACTCCGCATCATGGTCAGGAATCCACCTTCATGGCCGTGGCTGTCGCACTGGCCGCTGACAACCTCTTGCTTACTGGAGTGGGGACTTTTCTGCCCATCTACTTGGAGGAACAGTACGGGTTGAGTTCCGGAATAGCGAATATCATTGTTGGTAAGCAGTGGCTTAGCTATAGGATTTTTTGAGTGGGGGGTGGGGCCCACAGACAGGGGAGCATCAGAATATAATGGGGGACATTATCGCAAACGTCTGATGGCAGTTTTTCCAGTTGGTGAAAGATTGTAAACGGTAAGCCTTTGGCTAACAATACAAAAACGCTTTTAGTTGGAGAAGGAAAAAGGGGGCATTATCAGTATTTCGGTGGGGGCAACTTGGGCGCACGGAATACTTGTGTGTGTGTGTGGGGGGGGGGGGGGGACATGCCCCAGGCCCCCCTGGCTAAGCCACTGTGGTAAGTGATGTACAGCATACCAACTGCCGACGCTCTTGAGCAAATTCTTCTGAACAGCTGTGGGGTTTATAACAAGTGGGAGTGTGACAACAAGCTCTGGCCGTTTTGCAAGAAGTCTTGCATGAAAAGTATTGCATAATATCGATCAAAATGATCCCTGCCAGAGCTTTAAAATGCGACGCGAAAAAATGCGGACGCCGATGCCACATTATGGAACACCATACTTTTGGTCAATTTCCGGGGACAGACAGACAGACCGACCGACCGACTACCAAGTTTCATGTAGGAGCTCCTGTCAGAGCTTAAAATGATGATAATAGACTCTGTGCAGATTTGTCCAGTATAGACGGTATTCAGAAAACGGAAAGCCCATATGGTTAGACACCTGCAGAAGGAGTACTTAAGCAGGATCGAAGCAGACCGTGGGATTGAATCCAACCTTTTCATTTGATAGAGGTTTAATAAGCCTCTGTACTTATGACGTCACACTTTGTACATGTGCACTTTCCTATGGAGCCAGTGGGGCCCACGTTCACTGAGCACCATAGGAAAGCACACACGTAAACAAAGTGTGACATCATCAGTACAGAGGTTTATTGCTGTGTGACCCAAGAACTCAACACGAAAACACAAAAAAAACAGCAGTAAACGCAACAATCAAGACAATCGAACGTCAACTCACATGCACGTCGCGTACCGAGCTCGAACAGCTAATCGTCTGCTAGTTCGCTGCTCACACTCATGTGTGAAAACATAGTAAAAATAGCGTGGGTACCAACGACACAAGCGTTTCACATCGTACGTACCGTACGTACAAAGTCACAGCACGATGTATATCCCACAGGGAGTGTGCCAGGACTTTTATAAACTTAACACGTGATCGTTCTAGGCCAATGAAAATACAGTGTTCAACGAGAGAGAGGTATAACAATGAACTTTCATCTACTACATAACATTAGTATATAGTGATATATCAAAACAGAGGTCAAATTTTGAACTCCCTATAATGCATCATAAATAAGACACAAGTGAAGAGTCGACGTGACATGCATCGACTGCTTCTGCACGATTTCTTGCAGGTGGTATGGTCTGCATCGCCGGCTGTGGCGCCCTATTCGTGGGCGGCTGGTTGATCAAGAGGCTTCGGCTCAAAGTGCTAGGCATGCTCAAGTTTGTCATGGGGACTCTTACTGCCAATGCACTGCTAACCCTGACGCTGTTCCTGACGTGCCCGGAGATACCACTGGCAGGCGTGTACCAACACTACGCAAACGACAGGTAAGCATTATACACTCAATGGATAGCCCACGCGCCCATCATGCATGATATATGCACGTAGCGAAGCCGCCGCAAGTCACTTTAAAGGCCTCCCAATATGGCCGCCGTAGGACAACAAACTTGACCAGGCATTTAGGCCGGTTGGATGCAACTCTGTTCGGGGCTATAGATCCTTTGCATGGTAGCCCCATTGAGGCACGTATTTTGGTTCCCCATTCGGATGAGTAGCACCCTTTTGCATCCATATAGTGACTGAATTGGTAATAAACACCAGGAATGGTTGCTGAAGGCAAAATGCTATAGTGCTGGACTGGAAATACATTAAATTGATATGCAGTGGTGAGACCTAAACAATCGGCGCTACAAATAAGCCATTTGCGAGTAACCTACACCCTTTGGGATTTGAAGGAAAAATACCTGGTACACTGACTTGCTCAGGATGCTTGGCACATTTAAACTTTGAATTCTCCAGACCAATGACACTGATGCTAATCACATGATTCGGGGCAAGCTCTTGCTAAGAGACGCTCAGCACCAATACATTGTTCACAATGGGCGAGAATGACATACAGACACCAGACCATGCCGGAGCTGGGGGTTGCTAGCATAAGCTTGCCCCGAATCACGTGATATAGAAACAGTCTCTTTGGTCTGGAGAATGCAAAGTTAAAACGTGCAAATCATTGGTTTAAGTCAGCGTTCCAGATTTTATTCAAATTTAACTCGCAAATGGCTTAGTCTGACAAAGTCAGTACATGTATTTTTACTATGCTATTTTAAAAAGTCTTGCTTCGGTCCACAGAAAAACACAACCCTTCCAGTTCCTGTTTTTACATTTCTACGAAAATATACAACCGCCACTATTAAATAGTCCTGCTTGTGTTTCCCCCTCTTGTCAGTGCTGTATCGGTCGTGCGCCTGGACGACCCGTGCAACGACGGATGCCACTGCTCGACCACGCCCTTCGCACCAGTCTGCGGCAGCAATGGCGTCATGTATTTCTCGCCGTGTTTCGCTGGATGTCAAAGCCTAGAAGTCGGGGTACTATACCAAACTTTACACAAACCTTCAAGAAATCCCACATAAACTCGTTTATCGTCTGATATGATAGGCCCTAGCAGACGAGGGTACAATATCTGAATATTGATCATGAACATGTTCTTTCACCTAAGTTATACCACCAAAAGTCGATTGTTGCTTGTCTATTAAAATTATTGAAATGTTAATTTTCAAATATTCTGGTACCTTATCACCATGATCTGGAGTATTTCACTTCTTTTGGTACGAGAAAACATTTTTTTACCGATTTTAAACATCAGTGATATATAAGATATCCTGAAAGTATATATATTAAAGCAAGTAATTAACTGACCCAAATCGCGCACTTTAGGAAACACAGATTAAAAGCCGTGTATTTATTTACCTTCAGTTAAGTTAAAACAAAATTCGAAGGAACCGAATTTAACATCTTTGGATTATAAATCGTATACATGTACCAAACCCATTCAAACCATTGACTGGATTGCTGCAAACCTAACAACCCTGTTGAATACAACATGAAATAAGTCATCTTTTCGTGATTTTTTTTTACCAAGACTTAAGTCCTGCAAAACACCCTGACGTAGCAAATAAAGTATGTGTATTTTTGCTAAATTAATATGTAATATAGGGTGAGGTCAAAGAAGCGGAACCCAAACCCCTAAAAATATATTTCATATTAAAACAGAAAAAAGTAGCATCAAAAATGATAATGAAAATGGAAAGCCGATTTCAGAAACTATTTTTAGATGAAAAAAAAGACGACTGAAATTGCTCAAGCCGTTCAAAGAATAATACCATTTAAACGCATTAATGACCTTTTTTGAGTTCTGACTGTTTGGAACAACAAAGAAAATGAATACTTGGTCCAAGAACTGTCAACAACCTGTAGTACACAATAGTTTATTAACAACCCTACTTAGGCAAAACAATATGATGTATAAAACCCACTTTTTTTTTCTTCCAAAGATGGGCCTTCAAAAGGACTTTGTTGCATATTTATAACTTTTAAACTGAGGTTTATATCGCTGGTGATGTTTGAAGACGATTGTGACGACGATTCTTGAAATCAAATTGTTTAAATCGCATTTCGATTGGAACATTTGAAGTTGTCTTATGTATGAATGCGGTACGGTACCCGCTGCTATGTACATCAGATTCGAACCAGCCAACCGATCTCGTTAGCTCGGTGGTCGCGTGGTATAAGACATCTCTGCACTAGAAAGCAGGAAGTCGTGGGTTCGAGTCCCACCCGAGTGATTGTTTCCAACTTTCACTCCGGAGGTAACACACTGAGTATTCAGTGTTTATACGTCGGAGAAGGGCAAAACCTTTGTTTCACATTTTTTTTTTAGATATGAACAATATTTTTTTAAGGTAAAAAAA